AGGACAGCGATGAGGTTAGATTGTTACTTTTTTTATATGGGTTCTATTGAGACCCCATCCAACTAAATATTTTTTGTTATCACGCGAAGTAGCTTATACAATATATAGCACGGATGTCTCACAACACACTACTACAAATGTGATTGTTCTGTACGAGACCCCATCATTTTTGCAAACGAACCATAACTAGTGGCGCTTGCAAAAATCAAGCGGCATTTTCGCAGACGGCTCCTTAAGACGTCCGTATGGATTTTCCCATACGGGCCTCTTAAGAGGTCCGCGTGCAAAAATGGCCTCATTTTTTCATGCGGCTCACTTAAGCGCCCGCATGGAAAAATCAATTTGAAAATAGAATTTGAAAAAAATTTGAAAAATTGAAAATTTTGAAAAATTTGAAAAAATAAAATTTTAAACTAGTGTATCTCACTCATATGAACTCCAAATTGGATGATTATTTTTCCTAAAAGTTTCTAAAATCATGCTCTATCATGTCATTGTGTTCTTACTGCTATTATTTTGGCCACTTTTGAAAGAGCATCTATGCCCCTAGTGGGTTTTGGTTTATTGATGACAAACGATTAAGGGACTGATGCACTTATTGAGTGTATAAGCAAGTGATTAGTCCGATGAAGAAGCTAGGAAATGGACTTATCGATGGATGAGAATTAAAGAGAAGATATTTAAGATGTGAGTATGAAGTGACTACCTATGGCAAGACGGTGAAGCGCAAGCGACGCTCAGCTGCAATGGACCATGCGGTGGTGAAGGGCCAGCAAGAGGCTTGGTGACGATGAACCGAAACCGGTGGTGAAGGGCGAGTGAAGACTTTGTCGTGATGGACCGTGCAATGCCATTTGAAGCCATGGATTATCCTTATCAATCATTTGAGAAATGGAAGATGAAATGTCAAAGATCAACAAGATGATATTTTCCCGATGATCAAATGACCTTGACGCCGGTAATCCTCCAAGTGAAGAAAGAAATTGGTGTGAAGGTATTCCTATTGGTATAACTTTCCTTTTTACATTTGAGTTTAGGATGCCGTACTATTAAGGGGGATACCACATACATATAATTGGTTGAATACTAGTGCTCAAAATAATTCATCTTTGTGTTGGTTGAAAAACCTAAGCCAAATTTCAACTCCGAGTTGTTTTACATGTCACAACACTTGTACCGGGTTTCTTTGCAAGTTTTTCAACATCTCTTGAAGGTTTTGGCTCATGTTTTATGGTGGATTTGATAGCCTATGAAACAAGCTTTCCATAGAGTCCAAGATCATCAAAATTGGACTCCGGAGTAAAAAGTTATTATCTTCTTACTCGAGCAACATCAGACTATCCGATTTGAGATCAGATTATTCGATGTGTCGGACTATCCGATTTTTCACAGAACTTCACTCTCTGTCTTGGTTTGAAAAATCCTCTCGAGTGAGTTTTTCTAAGTGTCAGAGTATCCGATGTTGGATCAAATAGTCCAATGATACAGAGACTCTGAAATTTCATGAAACTTGAGTCTCTGTTTGAGGACAAAGTTTTTCTTCTAAAATATCGGATACTCTGATTCCACATCAGATAGTCTGATGTGTCGGAAAGTCCGAAATTTCATGGAACTTCATTCTCTGTTTTTCGTTGCATTGGAGGTTTAAAATAACACAGACTATCCGATCTTTTATCGGACTATCCGACGTGGGCTAAAAGATTTCCCTCCAACGGTCACATTTTGGGGATCTATATAACACCCCCCCCCCACCAACCCTTTTCTATGGTTGCCCAAATACATTTCATTGAAATCTTGTTTTGGGCTGAACTTTGTGCTAAGTGCTTTGGATCTTTGAGCTCTCTCCCTCTCTATCTCAAATACCCCTTGTTCTTTGTGACTTGGATCTTTGTGTGTGGATTTGGAGTTTGGGAGCCTTGTGTGTGTTTCTCTTGATCTTGAGCACTAGGATTTGTCCAAGAATTGTGTGGTGTTTATTACTCTTGGAGGTTGAGTACTTCTAGACGGCTAGGTGTCGTTCTTGGGCCACCGAACTACTTATGGTTGGCCAAGACAAGTTTGTGAAGGCCGGAACTCGCCTCCGCAAGGAAAAAGATACCCTTAGCGGAAAAATATACGCTTAGTGGAAGGAGGTGTGCATTTGTGCAACCTCACGAGGATAGGGTTGAAAAAGACCCGGCTCTTTGCGAGCCCCTCAACGAAGACTAGAATCCCCTCAAGGATTTGAACTCCGGGAAATACATCGGCGCATAAGCCTCGGTGATATCCTCACTCTCTTTACCTTCTTGCTGCATTGCTTTGTGCCATGCTAATATTATTGTTGGTTGAGCTCACCTCCTTGCTTGTGGATTGGATCTAGAGCTTTTAGGTTGTTTCCTTTTTTATTGTTGTTGTGCAGGTCATATAGTATAATCTCAGTTCAGACTATCGGATCACATAGGACTATCCGATCCAATATCAGACAATCCGACCCTGTTTAGTTTTAGCTTCCACATTTATTTTTAAAAACGCCTATTCACCACCCCCTCTAGGCGACATCAAGGTCCTTTCAACTTTTTCTTGTGGCTCTGTTTTATCAATTAAAAATTTGAATTTTAAAACTTCAAATAATATTTTGAAGCAGTAAATGATTTCGGCTGAAAAAGACATCCACAACAAAGTTGTATAACTCATCAAGATCTATAACTTCTATTTTGGTCATTTCTTCATCCGACAAAGTGATAGTAATATTTTCACAAAATTTACATCACTCTTATAGTTTATAAAACTATATAAGAGATGTACATTTTGTGAATAATATTACAAATCACTTTGTCGGATGAAAAAATGACCAAAATAGAAGTTGTAGATCTTGATGAGTTATACCACTTTGTTATCGATGACTTTTTTAATTAAAATCATTTAGTATTTAAAAATGTTGTTTGAAGTTATCATAATTTGAAATTTAAAAAATTTAAATTCAAACTATTCAAACAAAGTCATATAGAAAAATGACCAATACAAAAGTTGTAGATCTTGATAAATTATACCACTTTGTTATTGATGACTTTTTAAGTTGAAACCATTTAGTATTTAAAAATGTTGTTTGAAGTTGTCATATTTTGAAATTCAAATTCAAACTGTTCAAACAAAGTCATATACAAAAATGACCAAAATAAAAGTTGTAGATCTTGATGAGTTCTACAACTTTGTTTTTGGCAACTTTTTCATATGAGTTAATATAGTGCCATAAAAATCGATTTGAAATTTAAAAAGCCACATGCAAAAAATCAATTTTTACGCGCGGACGGTTAAGTGGCCCGCATGTAAAAATGGTCCCTCTTCCTTCCCTATCCACCAGTTCAAAAACTCACACCTAACACCCTTATCTTCTCTTCCTCTCAGTCTTCTCTCTCACTTATTACCTCATTTCTCAATGTATCTCTGTCACTTTCTCAGCCCCTCTACAGGACGGCGCGTTGGAGAACAGCGAGGAGGGCGGGGCGAGCGCGGCGGTGGCGGAGAGCGACGCGGCCCGTGGCGGCGGCGGACGGGAGCAGCCGCGGGCTCGATGGCTGGAGGGCGAGCTCGATCCGGTGCCGGCGGACGACACGCGTGGATCTGCCACCTCTACCCCTTTCCGTCGTCACCGACGACTCCCCCGCCCTCCTCCAACGCGGATTCGGCGGCGACACCCTCCCCCGCGGCAACGACGACAACCTCGGGTGGAGGCACCTCACCGCCGCCGCGGCGGGGGAGGCTCTGCCGCCCCGTGCGGATCCGGCGCAAGGACGGCCGATCCGATCCGGTGCCGGCGGACGACACGCGTGGATCTGCCACCTCTACCCCTTTCCGTCGTCACCGACGACTCCCCCGCCCTCCTCCAACGCGGATTCGGCGGCGACACCCTCCCCCGCGGCAACGACGACGACCTCGGGTGGAGGCACCTCACCGCCGCGGCGGCGGGGGAGGCTCTGCCGCCCCGTGCGGATCCGGCGCAAGGACGACCGATCCGATTCCCGCCATCCCCTCCTCACCGCCGCTTCCTCACTGCCCCTCCCCCCTCCTCACCGCTGCGGCGGCGGGTATGGCTCTGCTGCCTCGGGCGGCCCCGCCCCGCGCGGATCTGGCGGCGGGGCGGCCGATCCGATGGCGGTGGGCAGCTGATCCGGCAGCGATGGGCGGCCGATCCGGTGGCGGTGTTGACGGGGGCGGTAGGGGCGACGGATCCAGTGCCGGTGCCGGGCTAGGTTTTGGGATTTTTTTTATTTTGATTTTTTTTGTTTGCTGAATTATTTTCTCATGCGGCCGGTATAAGCAACCACATGAGACCCATTTTCGCATGAGCTTGCGCCGGCCACATGCAAAAAGCATTTTTTTTAGTAGTGAACAAACTTTATACTTACTCTGTTTCACAATGTAAGTCCTTTTAGCATTTCCCACATTCATATTGATATAACAATGTAAGTCCTTCTAGTATTTCCCATATTCATATAGATATATGTCTAGATTCATTAACATCAATATGAATATTGGAAATGCTATAATGACTTATATTGTGAAACGGATGAAGTGCATACACGTATAAAGTTTGTATACGTATACGTATAGATGAAATATACTCCATAAGGTACGGACTAGTCATGTGGGGAGGGCGCGGGACTAGTCACAAAATTGCGACTTCAAGTATTTTAACCGACCAATGCTACACGTACTAATTTTTTCTAACTAAACTTTTACTAACAATCATCTAAACCGTTTGCTTTAAGTAGATGAAAGTTATAAAAAATCTAGATGCACTCATAGCATGACACATCAGTGTTAGTAATAATTGTAATAATTTAATAAGAAATAGTTAGTACATATAGCCCTTTCCATTTTAACCAGTTGTGATGGTTGACGGAAACTGCCCCCAAAAAAGAAAAGGAGTTAGGTAAACTGACCTTTTACCCCTTATTCCGGGGGGGGGGGGGGAGCAGATATATATAATTAGGTCGATTAGTCATCTCACATCATGCAAATACCGAAAAAGGACAGCAAATGTAATAACTATGACTATGAGTGAATAGTATTTCAATAACCACATTACAATAACCACAACTAAGTAGTGGTGCACCATGACATGTCGCAAGTAAAACAAGCTTTCTTAAAAATTATATCAGTACTACTGTCAAAAAAAATTATATCAGTACGGTAGAAACTACTGTAACCTCTTCGGTGCGCATGAAAGGACAGAATCACCTCTTTGGTGCGCATGAAAGGACAGAATCACGGCACAGCAACCAATAGTGTCGAATGCCAAGATGCATCCAAGGGAACAGTGAAAACTGCAGGTGCAGCGTCGTTGGTACCCTGAAATCAAGAGAAGTTAAAATAAATATTATCAATAGTATACCACAAAAATGATGGAAAATGTACAAACCTTTCACCGCTAAGGATTCCATACGCCAACTGTTTGCAGAATGATAAAGCAACCCCGTTGAAAATTTTCCGGTAATGCGGTCTGATTATGTGCCCTACATTTAGTTCACTTTATGTTAGTTCGAATATCACGACAATAAAAGGGAGCATAGTAAAAGGGGAAAAAATGTGTTGGTTCTTTCAAAAGATAATTAGTATGTTTCCAAAAGCATGCTTTTCCTTTTTTCTCATGGAATAAATGAACAAATCTAAGTGTTCAAATCAAATCACAGATCAGCAGACCTGGAAATACTTAATTCATGTGCTACTTCTAACCATGTACTGCATCAACAGAAAGGGCAGGCAGAAGTGTTTACCGAAGGTGGCATAGTTACAGCAAAGTTCTGACACTAAAGGTTCTGACTTGCCAAGGACAAGATGCTCCGTTTTCCTATAACCTTTGGTTGATAAGAGGCCATCACCATCAACAGCAGATACAGATGACCACATCACAGGATGGAAGAATAATCCAGTAGGAAATCTTTGCCTCCTTGCCACCCACATAATTAACTCAGCATAAGGAGTAGAGTGAATTATAGATACTGTGATTTCCAGAAGTATGCAGAGACAGATAACTGCAGTACTCAACATAGAAAAGAATATGTAGAATATAGAGGTTGTGGGTAGGAGAACCAGGACTGGTGTAAACAACAGTGAACCAACTACATGTTGTTCAACTGTATAGTCATAGCTATCTAATCTCTGCCTAAGAGGATTCCATTTGCGGCCTCTGTTCATAATACAAGCATGTTAGCCAAAAGAGAAGTACAAAGAACATATATAATGGAGATTGAACATTTTTTAGATATTTGTGAATATAAATGATGATAAAATGGTCAGAAACTAATTATCATAACAAATAGGTGAACAGTTAAACAGTCGTTGAAAATAACATCAACATGGTCTAAAAGATAATTAAGGAAAACCATTCTGAAGTTTAGAGTGGAAACATAATGGTTCCATCTAACTCCGCTACTGATAGGTAACTGTTATATATTGACAGTCCAAATTTACTATTCTCAGTATCTACCAAATGAAATATGGCTCTGCAGAAGAGTGTGCGTGCGAGGTATTTGACCAAAATCTTAGTACCAGAGCTGTGACAACAACACTAGATTTACAATGAAATGTAACATTCAGTTGTGATTTCAGTAACATTTTCAGAAGCATGTAGCAGGAGCTGGCAAGAGACAGATAAGTTGGATTCCTCAGAGATTACATAGTTGTATTAGCATATTGTTCAGTGTTTATTAGTTTCATGGTTTCTTAAGTGAGATAGCACAGAAAACGCAGTCATTGGCAGACTGATAATAAAAGAAATAATAAACAACCATCCATTGATGACAAGCCCATTGTGTGCTCTTCCCTCCCCTCTACCACAACCAGGTACTGTACATACCAGATAAGACTATCTTTTATGGACCACATCTCCTGAACATACCATTTGCATAAACCCAAATTCCAAACTCAATTTGCTTATGTTATGTTTACTATCTTAACAAGAAAGGTGTCAAGAAATTCCAAATTCATTGGTGAAGAGTATGATCTACCTCCAAGAAGGTGGCTACAAGCCTACAACGATGTTGTGCGCAGCTCACCAACAAAAGAGCGGAGACCAGTAGAAGTCAAAAGAATAATTGAATATGCGTATAAACGTGACTTGATAGCTACTACTTTTAAGCCATTTGAAATTACACACATTCTCTACTAAATTCAATGGTCTAGCTAACTCATATTTATCCGGAATTCAATGATGTTGGAGGCTTCCAGTGGCCTCAACTGATTGCCAGTGATCATGCCTCAAGATAACATTGTCAACTTACACGGTTTTATTAATCAATCATATAAAATTCATTTGACTAAATATTTGTGTTACAGAGTGTCAATCCACAACAAAAAAAACAAAGCCATGTTTTTTATGTTCCTTGACCTCAAGCACTCAAGTGCATCACTAGGAGGTACAAACTAACCAAACATTTATATTGTTGCTCTACAAGCATGTGTGGATTTACATGGCATGACCATCGAGTTCCAAGTTAGCATAGAGTTTGTTTAAGAATCACAGGGTAAAGCAAATGTAGGCAATCAAATACCTTGATATAACCTACACTGGTATAGGCACGTTTTGGTGCCCTTCTCACCTGGTGAAATCATACGATACCACTACAGTTAGGTTATCTAGATGGGGTAGTGGTAATTATGTCAAATTCATCTTTTTATGGATGCAGATGAGAGTATCACCTTGTATGAGTCAGCTTTGCACGATGCAATTAAGAACTGTCAACTACAGGAGGGAAGAACTGTTGAAAGTACAGGACATAATAACATGAAACTATAGAAAGGGCTACTGAAACTCCAAGAGAAAATATGGCAAACGAGCCACAACCTAAAGAAAGTTGCGTTGGCAATAAGGCCTTTCAAGAATTGAAGTCATTGATGTTCCACTCTCTGGTGAGGGATTAGACTAGATGTAGAAGTGTAGAACATCTAAACTATGCTCAATAATATTGTATCTCCATAGCTCAATGATGTCGTAATAAATAGCTTCCTATTCCAATAGTAAACTTGAAAAACTCAAAGCAACGTTATCTTTTTAATTATTTACATTGGGCACATGAAAATTGTATACATTTGTCTTGAAAAGTACTTTCATAGCATTATGATTTGTACACTTTTACATATATAATAAAAGCAATTAATGGGCAGGGTTTCATTTTCAAGACAATGTGAATACCTAAAACATGTTTCCATGACTGAAGGGAGTTACTTTGTCAAATCATATCTAGAGTTTCGAAATTCATATGTGCACTACGGTATAGAAATTAACTTGTATTAATTCGTGCTGCAACAGAGATGAGCCTGTCAAGTCCTTTATGATTTAAAAGATGCCATCAACAATGAACTCATGATTTTACCTGAAAAGACGCCATAATGATGCCACTGTCTGAATCTGTCTTGAATATATCAAGGAGATCAACCACTGAAGCAGGGTAACATGCAATGTTGCAAGCTGGATAACATCTATGAAGAATGAAACAGGAACTGTTAAACCAAGAAGGATCCCAGAAAATGCAAGACCCCAAATTATGTGCCTTAGGAAGCCTCCCACAATTGACCAAAGAGTTGAATATATCTGAATTGCATTAAGTGAAATCATGCCTAAAAGCTCTGCCAACTCTGTATTCAGCTTAAAGCCTGCTGGAACACCCATCAGCCACACACAGCCAGATCTCAAAACACTATCGGTCATGTAGTGAACAAGAGCAAAGGTCCAAGAACAAATTATCTCTGTTTTCAACAATAGCACTACTCCAAGGAATAAACCAGTCAAGAGATCCATCACAATATTTGACCACAACATATGCTTCTGAATTGCTGCTTTATGTGCATATTCAACATTCACAGTAGAGCTACATAGCAAAAGCAAAGTGGAACAAACTGTAGTTGAAGATAAGCTTCTGCTACTCATAAAAAAGAATCAACTATAATTGAAGAGAAGTTTCACATAACTACATTTTGCTTTATCATCACTTAATAACTACAGAGTACTTCCTCCGGTTCCATAATACTTGTCATTTTAGACAAGGACACGGTCTCCAAAAAACCACTTTGACCATTATTGTCTATTACAACATATATAGAAATATCAACAAATATATGATTTTATTAAAGTGTCATTCAAGATTATTCTATACATATAGTTTCCATGTTTGTAAAGTAATATTTTAAGGGCTTGTTCGGATCACAGGATAGGAAAAACACAGCAATAATATAGGATTGCATATGCAAAACGTAGGATTGAAAAACATAGGAATTTGATGGTGTGGAGCGTTCGGAATACAGGAATATATAAACCATAGGAATTTTCCAATCAACAGTAATCTCATAGATTATGGTCTAATTAAGCAATAAAATATTAGTTCCCATCTAGTCACTCCAACGTGATTAGCATCCATCCCGTCGTACCTAATGAAAAAAATGAGGTTTGAGTAGATGTTCAAAATCCTGTGAAATTCCTACGTTTTCACAGGGTTGCTATAGTATTCCTACAAAATTCCTACGCATGATTCATTTGAACCGAATGCATAAACAGTATCAAATTCAAAGGAATCGCTAATCCTACAAAAATCATGTGAAATCTCTCCATTCTTAACAATCCCTAAAATTTATTTATAGTCAAAGTTCTAAAAGTTTGACCTCAGCCTTGTCCAAAACGAAAGTATTATGGAACCGGAGGGAGTACTAAATATAATTTCTCCTAATATTGGAAATTATAGAGGTTCTTTACATGACAGCTAACATAGAACAAAATATAGAAGCAATTAGTTTACAATCATAGATTAAAAAATAAGGAACCTAAGTTTTGACTGTGCCACCATGCAACTGCAATATGGAATGCCATATGCCATCCTATCTAGCAACAGTAACTCCATTTGGCATGTCAAGATAATTCACTAAAACAGTATAAAAGAAGCTAATACTTAACTACAGCAGCATCAAAAGTCAAGTTTACCTTAGGGATCTATCTTGCAGGATAATTGGCCAGTAGAGAATATGGCAGCAACGGAGATGCATGTTTTTCCATGAATGCCCAAAAACCTTTTGTAACATGAAGTACTGATATATATTGCTTAAATATTTTTGGAACACTTGAATGAAGATGTAGACGATAGTCGATATTGAAGCCAAAAGTATTCCCACGGAGTGCCATGTTACTTGAACTATCGCAAAAACCCTAAATGAATAGGAAGTAAGAAAGGTGCAAAGCAGTCGTACATCAAATATGATTAAGCAATGGTGCTTACACAGATGCAAAGAGAAAGCGAGCCACAGAATTACTGGTAGCAGCTTCCTGAGCAACTGATAGTCTAGCAGCATTTGAACAATTAAGTCCCAAAATAATTGGATCCTTTGGACAAAGATGTGAAACAGATCAGCCAATTACTAAAATTAAAATGTAACAGCGTATCAAAGCATTCATGCACATACCAAATCAAATTCTAATCGTTTGCATTCTAGATTATTTATCCAATTTGGCTTTCTGAAGGAAGACTTTGATCTGCAAGGTGCATCCTCACCCAGGGAAAAATGGTTTCCACAAGCAGTTGGAACATCATATAGTACGACCTAAATAAATGATACAGCATTTATAAGTAACTCATCACAGGAACAAATCATTACTAGTGAGCAACAAAATTAAAATGGTTCAAGTTATGGTTAACAAATTATGTTCAGAAGTGAGAATTGACTTACATACGTGGCAATGACTAGTCTCAAACTTCTGGTCATCAAGGCACAAATAATGAAGCACAGGGACTTGATTCAGATTGCATTTCAAGCTCTTGCTAGACTTAAAGCACAAGTGCACCCTGTTGTGCTCTTTGACTACTGACTTCTTGCAAGCATCCAGAAGACCATCTAAGATGCTACAATCATATTCCCATTTGCTACTGTAGCCGCTTTGGTCTTGGGCTCCACTTTCCAATGATCCACTCGATACAACAGGACTGTTCTGGGTCATATAAAAATGCCCTTTTTGAACAGATTGAGTCCCCAATGGCTGATGATGTTGTTTACTACAGCATACTTCAAATTCTCTTGGAAGATGCATACAATCCCCCAGAATGGTGAATGCCGCACATTCTTGTAGCCTTGCTGGCATCCTTGTATTTGAGGAAAGGATGACAGTCTAACATGAGAGAAAACACTGATCAAATATGCTACGAAAAGTTACCATGACTAGAGTGCTGTTTATTAGGCTAAATACTACCTTTTGCCATGGACAAATAACTATATTGCAAAATTAATCAACACAAATAAGTATTTTTTTCCCCAAGTGAACACAAATGACATCCTGAAGAACATAAACAGAACTAGATGTGGAGGGACAAACAATGTAGTCAGGAGAGTGTATTGCACACATACCCAGGAGAGACAGTATGGTCAGGAGAGGGTGTTGCCATTTTGCCACAACCCACGAACTGTGGATGTTAATTTGCTGACTTTCTATGTCAGCCATTAGATGAGGTTTGGATGGGTCAGATAAAAAGGGATGCAACAGCCACATAGAGGGGCACTAGACAGTAGATAACCCCTTCAAGGATTAATGAACTTATTTATGATGGATCTACCTCCAATGTTTCTTTGAATCTAATCCAATCAGCACAAAAGAAGTAGTAAGAGATCGTTTGGGGACGAGCCTCCTACTCGTAGAATGTATTTTCCGACAAGTTTAGATATACTCTTGGAGAGACAATAACATGATCACTTATGGACACAATTATGTGTACTTCTGCTCACCTTATCTCATCCAGCGGTTCTCTCATCAGAAGTTATGAGTAAGCAATTAAAGATGAGTTTCCCTAGATATATTATACTCATAATTATGAAGAATGTGATTTTTATAGTACTCCAACGGGAAGATTGCAGTAACCAAGCAACGGTGGCTGGTATCAAAACATGAGAAACACCCAAGCTGCACGAGATCATAAGAAAGTAAAAATAAGTACACCCAACCATGAGCAGCTAATTAGTACTAAGGGGACGATATCATGTTTCACACACAACAGGGGTGCACCAAACCCATCCAGCATATTGGACCTAAGTTTTCCACATCAGGTGTTGGTGGAATAAAATCTTACTCCCTACAATCATAAATATTTGGATAATACTTAGTCAAACAAACTTTGACCATCAATTTCTTCTCAAATGCTTATATTTTCTTGGAGATTACAAGCTAATTTTAGTATAAAATTGATGGTCAGAGTTTGAAAAGTTTGACTAAATCTTGTCCTAAACGTCAAATATCTAGGAACAGAGGAGGGAGTAACACAAAAGGCTATGAAATCCAAATATTCCGAGTACTTCCAAAAACTGCAGAAGTGTTACAAGAAAACCACAAAATTGTCTTAATCTAACACCAGTCATCATAAACCACACTTGTGGACAACCATCCATCTCAAACATCCTATAATCTGCTCTTTCACACGGTCGATCCTGAGGTTTTGGTGGCCCAGGGCAAAACTTAAATTTATATAGTGCTCATAGTGTGCAACGCTTTTTGTATGCATAAATAAGATAATCTAATGCGCATCCAAAAGCAATATTTATAGAAAAACATCATCAGCATTACATAAAATATTTCTTCGAACATTTCTAGAAGCGAAGATATTGATGATAGTATCGTTATCAATCTCATCTAGCAGTTTCTTATTTTTATGAAAACATCTTTTTTTTGTCAATGCATAAAGTTGCCAACCATATAACAGTTTAATCTAGAATAAACTAAACAATGAAAAAAATCTAGCATATTAGTGATCAAACACATGGATTATAAAACTTAGAAAGCACCTAATTAATTCAAACAAATCTTTTTATTTGCAAATGCTCAAAAGGATTATAGTGCACGTTAATATATTAGAAAAAAAAAAGCAATCAGCAGTACACATCACGATCAGTTAGAAGCCATCACAGCGAAAAGATCAAAAGCCGGGAAGCAGAGGGATAGCACTAGCAGCATTCTTACAGAAAATTTAAATGAGTAGCGGCTGGGCAGATGAATAATGGCAGATCGATACTTGTTTGCTCATCAGGCTCACGGGCTGCCATCCTGAATCAACAACGACCAACAACGGTCAAAGGTCGCTACGCCTCCATTAATGCATACTTGTCCACATTTACAGTGGCAGCGCTGCCTAATCACATAGCTAATCCCGGGATTAGGTGGGGGCCTAAACGTTTTGGGGGCCCAGTGCGGCTGCCCCGCCCTCAGGGCTGGGCCTACTCTTTTCAGAACTAAATGGGTCAATGGACCATCTAAACAAATTTTGAGGGCCATCCTGGTTTTGTGAAACAGCAGCATTTCCTCGAGTAACAATAATTTCTGCCACAGGCAGAATGAGTTGATACTAGAATACGATGTAATATGGGGTGTTGCATACAGGCGCAGAGGGCGATAAAGCAGGGCACAACACGCCAGGCTCAAGTCCTTCTCCAGCTTAGAGATACTCTTTAATTAGTTTTAAAGAGTTAGGATTTGGTAAGAGCTAATTGTCTAGCTTGAGTTAGAGTTTTATTACGATTTGAGTGAGGGTTTGATTAGGATACTATTGTTAGGGCCAGCTCTTCATAAACCGAGCTGACGGCAGTTATTAGGCAAGCAATACAATTAATCAACTTTCTCTACCTCCTAATAACCTTGCCTCCCCAGTGCAGCCCAGACCACGGCACCCCAGCCACACCATCAAGGTCCAGGGCCACATCCTATTACCTCACAACTATAATCCCTACCAAATTCCACCAACCAACATAACTGCCGCAACATAAGGTTATTCCACCTTTGCTAACCAAACATGATGAGGCATTTCAACTACCAAACACAAACACATAGTTTGACCCAGACCAGTGATCGAACCAAACCAGTGAGTCCATCAGTCCACCGGTTTGACCGCTAGTTAATATTTTTTAAAAATGTTTTGGTTTACTCAGAAAGGGTTAAGTAAATTCATTTTACTTTCAAAATCAACATACTTGGCAAGCTGGTTTGGTTGTTGCATGCGCATGGAGACCTCGGGGGTTCGACTCACCTCCACACACCAGAGAGTGATTTTCAAAAAAAAAAAAACCCTTCTCCCAGTCCAACCACTCCGGTTTTCACCCAGTTCTGTGCAAAACTGGACCGTTCAATCGCTTTTTACGGTTCACTGTGTATCCAGTCTTTTATTCAAACCAAACCGGTCTAGTGCTGGTTCTGATTTTTACTGGTTTAAACGCTGGCCCAGTCCGGATTTAATAACTATGCACAAACTTATAGATCACGTGATGCGTAGGGACATTCCAAAATGAATATACCCTTTGATCCCCCGAGATCTTGATTCTCAGGCCCACACCATCTTTGCGGTTTGTAAGCACATATATTCATTGATTCATTCATCATCGCCCTGCCAAATAATTGTTGTTTAACAGCAAGGCAACGAGCATCAAACTGTTCCAAACAGCAATGTTCTGTAGCACCATTGCATACAGCATCCTTGAAAGGGGCTTAACAATTGCATATAGCTTTTTGCAATATGAATCGTAATGAAAAGCACAAAACAAAGAAAATGAGCTCCAAATATATCATATATATTTCATAAATGGATTCGCTTAAACTCTAAGTGCTGCTAGTTAAATTTTCAAGTACAAAAGCACCATAAGGCCATACAGATAATAAAGGAAACCTCCAACCACTCTCACAAACAGATGCATCGTACCAAAACAACAAATGGAAGGTAAGTTAGTGTCAGCAGTCCAGTCATTTCCGCAAAATGAAATACTCATATGGTTCTACTTGTGCCTCAATCCCACCACCAGATGAAGAAAATCTTCTTTTAGCAGCTATGAAGACCTTTATTGTGTTCTACGGGCTGCTAAACTTCCAAATAAGGCTGCTAAACCATGAAATACTGTCGCGGCGCATACAGCATCAAACTGTCAAGGTAGACCTATAGGGATAGCATCTGCTGTGATGTTCACTACAAGAACCACAGTCTGCAATTGGCCAAACATGCTTGACCATAAAGTACTAAAAGTTATATACAACTTCCTTTTCCTTTTCTCTTTTGAAGAGAGCGTAAGGATTTCGTTGATCAGATAAGTCATTGCGGACGCACACTCGCTAACAGCTATCAGGATTTCCCCTCCTGGGCCCTAATTACTGAAGGTATAACGATTTTCTTAAAACAATAAAAAGAATTTTGAAGTTGCAATTACTGCATTGATTTAGGGTATTACTTCGACCAGCAAAACATTACTTCAATACAGCAATATATGTCTACTTGAAGTATTGTAACCAAACCAAACATTGCCACACATCCCAACTAAGTTTGAAGGAAATAAATATGGGAAATTTGCATCGCTGACCTGGAGTGCTTCTGGGGTGGGGAAGGACCGCAAGATTTCCTCCTGCGGGAGAGCCGCCCCGACCACAACATCAACGGAGTCCGTGCGGGCGAAGAGCCATCCGAACAGGACGAACCTTTGGGGCGCGGGAAGCGGCTCGGGCTGCAGCCGCCGCTGTGGCCACCATATCCGGCACCACTCCGGGGCCATGGCGGATGCACCTCGGTTCGCATCCTGTAGGGGATTAAAACAACCAAAATCGGCGACAAATCCAACCCAGCCGTGTGGGGCGCACAAGAAACAGGAAAGGATCTTTCCCAAGAGAGGGATTCGATAGACAACCGGGCTAGGGCTTACCATGAAACGAACGCTAGGCCGGGTGAGCCCCCATTTTTTTCCAAGAGGAAGGTGGAGGACCCGAGAGGGCAAACGGCGGGAGGGGCGGATCGGGAACTCCAATCAGCGGTCGGGGAGGAGGATGACGAGGGCGGCAGGTTCCGATATCCTGGCGTCAGCCACCGGAGGTCCGGAGGAGGAGAGGCAACGCCGACCAGATCGGGGACGAGGAGATCGGCGCAGTCAGGGAGTGTGGGGTGGGGGGTCGCGGGCGACGGCGCAGGCCTCGTGGGTTGGGGCTGCGGAAGTGGATCGGTAGGGGGAAAAAGTACACCGAAGGTACCTCGACTTGTCATCGAGTTACCAAATCGTCCCCCGCTACCTTAATTTACAAAACCGTTTACTATAGCTCCTTAGTTGATTTTCGCTCCGGTTTTGTCCGACGTATTGGCTGAGTTAGCGTGGGACCCACGTGGGCCCCACATGTCAGTGAAACCAGTTTCTTTTCCCCACCTCTCTATCCCCTCTCTCCCCTCCCCTCCAATCAGATCGCCGGAGAGGGCATGATGCGGGGCAGAGCAGCCACCTGGAGGAGCGAGCGACGGCGCGAGGAGCGGCCATCTGGCGGAGCAGCCGGGCGGCGGGCGGAGCGGCGGCGGCAGCTGTGCCCGCTGCACTGCCCTGCCGAAGGACCAGGCGACGGCGCGAGGAGTGGCCAGCCGACCGGCAGAGCAGGCAAGCGGCAGGCAGGTGCGCTGCGGGAGAGGAAGAGGCTGTGGCGGCAAGGTACACGCCGTCGTCGCCGCGGCGCGTGCGCGAGAGGCGTGTGCTCCTGGCTGTGGAGAGGCCACGGAGGCCGGCGATGTGGATGTTGATTCCAGGACCAGGCTCCTCGGACGGCGGTTGACACCGGCGGGGGTAGGGGCGTCGGCGGCTCCTCGCCTTGTTTCGACTGAGGCGGTGGGATTGCAGGAGATAGAAGACAAGCGCTAGTGGGGGGAGGGGCGGATGTGGATGGGGAGCTCGGGGTGGTGGGGAGGACCACGCGCTGCTCACCCGCCGTGAGAACGTCGACGGCCGCGGTGGCGAGGCGAAACTGTAGCGAGCCGCCGGCTGTCCAGTTCATCTCCCTCTCCTGCTCCGGCTGCATCGCCAAGGACGGACGGGAGAAAGGTGCCGACGGAGCAGCACCAACCTTGGAGCTTGTCGCTGATGTCGGCGGCCACGGCTCCAGCGAAGTCGGGGACGTGGTGGAGGGAGGAAGCCGTTGTGTCGACGACGTCAAGGAACGGGTATGTGCCGCCGCCCAGCTCCTCTCCAGCTACTCGCCGCACGCAGTCGGAGTAGATGCTCCCACGAAGAAGAGCTGCGGCGCTCGCCGGCGACCTCGTCCTCCGCCTCCTCCTCCGGCCACCTCCGCCGCCCACGGCCTGCCGCCGTCATCGCAGCCGTCGCCGCCTCTCCGCCACTGCGCTCGCTCGCCGACGCCACCTCGCCCTGCCGCCGCCCTCCCATTCTCCCGTGTCTCCGCCGCCGCGTCGTCGCCGCCGCATCGGTGGCCAGCCGTTGGACCTCCTCTCCCCGGCGACCTCCTCCGCACCGTCGGCCAGCCATCGTCAGCTGCCCTGCCCAATCCAGAGAGAAGAGTAGGAGAGAGAGAGGACAGCAAAGGAGAGGAAGGGAGAGGCCGGCCTGACGTGGCATACTGACATGTGGGGCCCACATGGGTCCCACGCTGACTCAGCCGACACGTAGGACAAAACTGGGGTCAAAATCACCGAGGGACCTAGTTTACACCGGTTTTATAAGTTGGGGGATACGTTGTATCCGGTTTTGCGGTTAGGGGACGATTTTCAAACTCGATGACAAGTTGAGAGACCTTCGGTGTACTTTTTCCATCGGTAGGGCGTTAGTTGGGCAGTTGGCCGGGCCTAACAAGTTGCTCAGAACCGGTTCGTGTCGTCGTGAAAAGGAAGATTTTTATCCTTAACCCAAATACCAAATACATAGAAAACCAATGCATCTATAATGTTGTCTTTGCTTTTAGTTGATGTGACACCTACATGATTCCTTTAACTAGTATTCATCCTACGTGACGCTTATGTAATAGTTTGATAAAAAGATAAAAACCGTAGAGCCCACATGTTAGCTACATCAGCAAAATAATAAAAAAATGGTGGGCCCATTGTGGGACCCACATTTCAACCAGCTTCCCACCCTTCTTCACCATCTCCGCCATGCCCTCCAGGTGCCACTCCACGCACTAGCTCAGCCACCTCCTCCGCCATCGCCAACATGCGCACCAGCTAGCCCAGCGATGTCACCAACGGCTTCCCCTTGAGCCGCGCGTCGACATGGCGCAACAACTCGCCCGCGGTGCTGTAGAGCTCTGGGTCGACTTTTCATTTTTAGTAGAAAGATATTTATGAAAAGTTGTATACTTTAATTTGTGCATGTTACATATGCATAGCCATACCCCTATTGTAAAATTTGATGTACACTGCTATTTTGATCGGTTATTTTTTTAGAAGTATTTGATTTACAATACTAATCCACTCAGTATGTGCTTTCTGCAGCTTGCATAGCGATACTTGTATCATAAATGTGCGATGTAAAAGTGCAAGAAGAAGAAGATCAAACGTTTGCAATCCTGCACTTCGTGTGATTAAGGCAAGATTTAACAGTAGAAACAATATGTCGATTCTAGAAATCGACAATAAAAGAGGTAGCACACAAGATCTGAAAGTGAATGGATGCGAAATACAAGGGTTTAGATAATTTTAGGCCCTTTTGATAAGAGATAATACCCTACTCCTATTACTCCTATTTAAAGATTGTGTCCGTCGGGTGCATATTGATCTAAAGAGCTGATAGTGCTTATCTCGCTCTATAGCTATGCTCTTGGAGGGCTCCCTACGCACCTTATATAGGTTGGGGGCAGTGTTACAAGGAGGAAAACCTAACCGGAAACGACATCAGTTTTCTAATCTATTATATGGTAGTATTCAACTGGGACTCTACCCTACCTTGGAATACAAGGCACCATGGTGACTGAGTCCTACTCTATTACATAATCTATAGATCTGGCCCACCTCCTATCTCAGTCGGATATGTAGGCTGTGTGGCTACACGGTAACCATATTCTCCACAAAATAACTTTTCTAGATCTTTTTTGTCCTTAATATTAAGATGTGATGTGGAACATCGTGAAGCTCCCAAACCCATCCCGAGCTTACAAGCCCTTCACTTGTTAAGATACTGGTATTTGCAATTTGTTATACTGACTATCTAGATGCATGGTTGGATAAGCTGAATGCTAAGTTATTTGTTTCTAGATTTTCAGCAGTGGCGCTCGGGATCTTGAAATACACTAAATCAGAAAATGTTACGGGAGCTCAGCCATACCTTGCCATCGTTTAACTATTGTTGAATCCAGATGATGGCAGAGGAGCTTGCCACCGCGGAGACGTGGTCACTCGACGATGGCGTAGGAAGTCGGCCTGAAGATGCAGCCCCCAGTCGGTGGCGAAGGAGCAGGCCACTGGCCACCATGCATGGGGACGTGATCACTCGGCGGCGGTTAGGCAATCGGCCTAGAGACGCAACCCCCAGACAGTGGCAGAGGTGCCAGCCAGCACAGGGACGAGGTCCCCAACAGCGGCGTAGGCAGCCGGCCTGGAGATGTAGCCCTCAGTAGGTAGCAGAGGAACTAGCCAGCTTGGGGACGAGGTCACTCAGTGGTGGCATAGACAGCCGACCTATAGATGTGGCCGATGAGGTCGCCCGGCGACGGCGTAGGCAGCTGACCTAGAGACGCAACCCCAAACGGTGGCGGAGGAGCCAGCCAGCACGGGGATGAGGTCGCTCAGCGGCGGCATACGCAGTCAACCTGGAGATGTAGCCCATAGTCGACGGCAAAGGAACCGACCAGCATGGGGATGAGGTCGACCAGTGGCGGCGTAGGTAGCCGGCCTAGAGACATGGCCCCTAGCCGGCGGCGAAGGAGCCAGCCAGCACGGGGACAAGGTCGCCCGGTGGCGGCATAGGCAACCGACTTGGAGATGTAGCTCCCAGTCAACGCCGGAGCCGAGTAAGGCAACACCCGAAAATGTGCCTCACTCAGCGAAGTGACACCTAAGTAAGACAACTCGGGGGTGTGTCTCACCCAGTGGAGTGGTGGCTGAGTAAGGTAGCCCGCAAGGACATATCTCACTCAGCGGCGTGGTCCAGTCCTCAAGCGTAGGAGGGGGCGCGTGTTCTCGAGTTCCTATTATGCACATCCAGATCCGGGCCCTGCGTCATGAACACGTAAAAGGAGTAGTATATTATATAGAAAATATCCACTCGAGAAGAAGAAAAGTATGTTTAAATACATGTAAATATTTGTTTCTCCTCTATCAGAATTAATTTCCCCGAGTAGTTGACTCCTTACGTTTAAGCACTCTATCTCAGGCGTATGTGAGGGTGTAGCCATACCGCGTAAGTGCGCAACGAGTGGCGTAGGGCCTGTTTGGGTTCTACCTTGAGAATAACGTTGCCTGGCCTGAGACTAGTCTGAGTCTACCATGGACTTGTTTAGTTGCTTGCCTCACACCGATTTCCTCTCGCCTCGCCTAATACATCGCTCCACGAGATTAGCTTGAGCCAAATTGGTCACCCGAGCTCTAGGCTGCAACTACCATAGATGTTTACCAGCTAATCTCGCTCATGGGCAGCTACATCACCATGGATGTTGCCAGCTAAAGAAGCCACTACCGGAGCATCTCGTGACGGCTTGTTTGGCAACTCGAAGGAAGGGGATTGGGAGTTTACACGAGCGAATTGATGGTGAGATTAAGATGGGAATTTAATTTTTATTCACAGTATCTTGTTTGGTAGAGGTGGTGAAAATTGATAGGGAGTTTAGTTGGAGATTAGGTCATTAATGAAAACGGATGGCTGAGATTTGTTTAGGCAAAGTAAAGGAGGAATTCCCTCCCAATTAGCACCCTCTACCCAGGTATTGAAAAGGAGGGAGTTTCTCTCTCAATTCCCCATCCCCATCCCACCAAATATCCCATGTATCCCAACCAAACAAAGCAGTTAATAGCCCCATCCCTCTAAACTCCCAATCCCTCGTAAAAACTCCCTCCAACCAAACAGGTCGTGAAGTCTCCGACATCGCAACTGCTTGCCGAAGCCCAACGTCTGGCGAAGCCAACATCGAGGCTAGATTCCACACCGTCGTTGTTGCATCGTAGTCTCCGCAGGATCCCTATCTACACGAAGCAGTAGCAGCAGCAGCCGCCGCCAAGCAAGGTTGCCTCCGTTGCCTAAGTTGGTTGCAAACTGATGCATGCTAGCACACATCTAGTCAGAATAGCTAGAAGAAATCATC